CGAAAAAGTCGTTTTCCATATACTTTTTTTTGTAAATGGCAAACAATCAATGTCTCTGAAGTCGCATGCGCAGTGGGCGAGGAGAAAAATGAGCTCAAGTGGCGACTTTCTCTGTTGTAAGGTCTTCAACTGTTTCGCATTTCGTATTTTCTTAGTTGTCAAAGGCCAGGCAACCGTGTTAATTAACAGTTAATGAATGAGGCTGAGTATCTTATGAAGAATTATGGAGATCGAGGAGGGTGTTATCCGTCGAGGCCGTAGGCCAAGGCGGATAACACCCTCCGAGATCTCCATAATTCTTCATATGATAGGAAAGCCGAATTCAATAACTTTTATTATTCATTCAAAATAATTCCAAGTTTAAAGACATAGCTAAAACATGCTATGCGATCCATCGATGTTCAGTTCATCTTCGATAGTGTGCGTTTAGGTTTGTCCAGCTCCGCAAATATTCTCCAAATAGCACATGTCGCCCTTCGAGTTGTCTTCTTGCTGTTCTTGCCGAGTTTTTAGCTATTTTTGCGCCTAGTTCTTACTCTTGAAACGAGTGAAATGTCCGCTATTTTTTAAGTTCACAACCAAAACAACTCACCCTCGTCCCCCGGTCTTCTCCGTTAACGGTGCCTTAACCTGCGAAAACGCTGCATTTTTGACGTCATTTCCTCGTTAAAGTCAAAATTCCTCCAAATTTGGTCATCAGTAACTGGTTATGGTGAATTAAACATGTGCTTTTAGCCAATCAGAATTGGGGAAATATTTTGAATGAATAATAATGCAGAATAAACGTAGCTAACCCGGGACCAATTTAATAAAACCTTTGCAAGTGTAATTTACAAGTGTGGCTATTGTTTTCGTACTCCAAAACAATAGCTACACTTGTAAATTACATTGTAAAAGTTTTATTATATTGACACCAGAATATGAATTTAAATCCTTTTTTAGTCCCTAACTTAAAAAGAAGAAACCCTGTCAAGTTCCGAGTGTTTAACCAACATGATTCTAAAATGTAAGTGAAAGTAAACAAAGGGGATCCTACAAGGCACTTACTTAAAAACGAAAAAAGATGGCATATCGACAGATTCAGTGTTGACACTATTCCGGATAGCTGGCGCACCGGTCTGAAAACCATGGGGTAGGGTTCCTGTTCACACATATTAAGAACGGTGATTTCGGGTTCCGTGGTAAAGGGATGCAAAGTTTATTCTCAGAGTCTCTAAGGTTATATGCCGTTTCTCGTATTGCAAACCTAGAAGATAAATATTCTGGAGCCAACCGGTGTAAAGACTTATAAACCATCGTGGCTTTTTCAATTTCATGCTGGCGCGCTGGATTTTTCCATCCTAGGAGTTCAAACAGGTAACCAGCGTCTTCATCGTAGTCCGAAAATGTCAAAACACGGGCTGCTCTATTTTGTAGTTTCTGAAGTTTGTTCCTTTAGGTTATCCCCAGTATTGCAATAATTGAAGATTTTAGAAGCTTAAAATGATCCACAAAAATTGTTAACCTCTGTTTATCAACAGACATGAAAGTTTGCAGTCCTAATATCTGTTCTATTATAGTTGATAATTACCATCACAACCCTCAACACTCCTTCCCCAAAAAGAACGCCTATGGCAGATTAATGATGTGGAACAGGTTTTGTTCTCGGAAGAGAATAACCCTAATTATTTATGATCATTTATGCTTATAGGCTTCCTGTTTTAGTTCAGCAGCAAAAATGGTTAGCATTTGCTTTATTTATGAAGCTGAGCCAGAAGGCTCTGACAATTCATGAAAGTTTTCAGTTGATCAACAGGGCGAAAGGTATGTATGCCCCTTAAGTTATTAAATAGTTCGTCTATCTACATCGCAATGACGACGTCAATCAAGATTCCTTCGCTGTTCTAACATTTAAAAATGCGTAAAGAAGAATTATCATCTAAACTGTTCTAAGGCCCAATCACTTCAGATCACTAGATCTTAAAACCCTATCCCCGCAATTTAACATCTACTTTTTCCTGACCAATGAGATCTTATGGCATATATACAAAGTTTGTTTTGCAAAGGGAAATATCTGACTATTACATTTCAGCAGGCACAATTGTTTTTATTTCATTTCTGTGCCATTTCTCCACGACTTTCAACTTCTTGTTGTCACTTAAAACGGTAATCCACTTCAAATTTCCCAAAGTTTCGAAACTCATTCTCAAACGCCTCGGTTGGCTCGATCACAAACCGTTGATTGTTAATGAGCCTTCAACCAGCCCTACCCCCTCACTACAATTCGGTAAAGCCGCTGATAAAGGCGAGCCTAGCGCCCCGCTAGGGGTACTCTCTTATAAAAATAACAGGGGTGCTGCTTGAAACCTGAGGTACCAGAAACTCGCTAAATTGACTTAAATCATTTACCGACTTAACCAGGTAGCAGGTCAACTGAATAACTGGTATGGACAGAGTGGACAACCTGTGACGTTGGATGTTTCGTTTTCAACTTGGCAGGGGTACTTCCTCCCACACCTCCTCCCCCAAAAAGAACGCTTGACCGCAGGTTTACGGTTCTTAGAAACAGGCTTTGTTCTCGGAAAAAGGGAAAAAACCCTAATTTCTTTAAAGATTATTTATGTAATTACGCTTTCTGTCTTAGTCCGATCAGCGAAAGGTTGGTATTGCCGTCTAATTCTAAAGATCACTTGAAGGCAGGCTCTATCATTTGTGGAAGATTTCAGTTGGTCAGTTGGTTTCAACAGATAAATCCGAACCCTAATTTCTTAGCATCTACCCACATCATCGGAGAATCTGCTAGGAACAACTAGCTGCGGGTTGAGCTAAGATCCGCAAAAGCTAGTGCTTTCCAGATATACTGGGATATACTGGACTAAGTATTACGAGTTTGCATACGGGAAGACTCGGTTTAGGAAGCCAAGGAACATCTGAGAAATGATAACACGAGTGGGCTCGGGGATACTAGAAGTGAAACATCTGCCTATGGATGAATGATCATCGGGCAATAGAAATGACAAAGTCGAACATGATTACTTCGTTGCTAAATGGTTGAATCGCTCAAATCATCATGAAGAGCATCTGAAAGTTATTATTTGCCTCCTCTCACTGGACTAAAAGTTGCAATAGTGAGAGAGAAATCAGATGCAAATTCTAGTCAGTTAGGTTTCGCTTCAGTAACCGCCGCGTCATAACTTTTTCGGCTTGTGCAGATCAAAGTTGAATTAAGTCTTGAAGATAAAAGTGTTGGCTTTCATTACTGTCGCTACTAACAAATTTAGCTGAGCAGAAGCTGACGTAAAATCGTCGTAACCTGATTGCTTTCGTTCTTTTGTGCGGCGGCTACCAGTCAATTACTAGATACTCTATATAGTATATCTTTTTTTTTTGTTATCTTGTCTTTTAAAGAAGCCACACCATACCACGTCATATTATGTAATCTCCGGTCTTTATTTTACTTCATATATATTTCTGTAAATTCGTGATATCTCAATAAACCTGATGAAGACTGGTATTGGCCAGTCGAAATATCGCAACTTAACTCTATTTCACGTTGTTTGATCAGTCCCTGCAAAAGTCTTCTTGACTGTAACGTTTTCAATTTCATCTATTTCGACTGATCACGATCTTTTTGGATCCGACGTTGAGCAAGATTGATCGTACACGGTTTTTGCAGTGGTTTTTTTACCTTAACTAAACATTCAATTACTATATCAATTGGGAGGAGAACTAGGAAGCATACTAATAAAACTTTAAAATAGATTTTGGGCTGGGGGCGTCTTAAATTACCCTGGGTATTACAATCGCCGCGAGAGTTAACATCATAGTGGAGCCCCATAAGTAAAAAAAAACTGTTATCTATACATCAGAGAAATTTTGGTAGTCACCTGACTGTGCGTCTGGCCGCCCTTCCGGCCGCGTACAGGGTAACCAACGTGAAATGTCAAACTTTCTAGCAAATGTTGGAGCCTGCAACCTGATATTGCACATTCATGTTGTGGTCCATTGACAGCTGTCAAAGCAGAGTACCCTCTGACCAGTAAACAGATACCTGTATGACGGGCTCAGCTGTTAAACCCGGGGGTTCCCATGTTTCCTTATAAGTTCTACACCGACAAATAGAACAGAGTTTTTTTAGTTGCTTCAGAATAGAATTTTTTTTCGACATGAACTAATTAGTTAATTGTTTGTTGTTCACTTCGAAAGAAGAATTCCGTTGGCGTGCCGTTTATTTTCTTGAAAGTCCCATTAATTACTGGAGGCCTACATTGAAAGTAATAGAATGAAACCATCAGTTAGTAAGGCAAATTGTTTATGGGGCACTAATGGACTACCACTTCTGTGGCTTATAATTTTCAAATTATGACTTTGGGCGCGAAAACGTAGTCAGCGGTTTACTCGCAAAGAAAGCTATAAAGTTGTCTTTTGCACGACTTAAATAATTAAAATATTCATCCTTTTGCTTAGCATGTCATTTTTGGTCAATTCTGGATCAATTCTGAGCTTAAGTCAATAATTAGTGTCTTCACAAAATGTTCCGTTTGAAATGTAAAGAAGATGTCAAACAAATTTCATCAACGGGTACTAACCATAATAACTTTTTTGGTGCTTAATTCAGGCATAGAAACTTGTTGAAAAAGCTGGTCCAACTTTAAAAGTTTCCATCCGTGCGGTGTCTTTACTTCTCGTCCGTTGCAACCGACGAAGGCATCGACACAGGTTATACTTTGCAATGGTTCTAAGTTTATTTGAAGCAAATTATTAATTTGTTAACGGGAACTTCTTTTTTATAGCCTTGGCTAAATCAATGTTTCTTGTCCTATACAGTACCTTCAAACTCGGAAGTTTTACCCTGTTACCAGATTTTCCTTATCTTAAAGTAAGATCCAAACTCACTCTGCTTGCAGGGTAGGAGGGTATAAGGGCATTGTTTGAACGTCAAATGTTAAGGGTTGTTTTTAATAACCCAAACTGTGCTTGTTTTTTGGACAGAAGAAGACCTTAAAAGTTCAGCGTGAAGAATGGCCACCAAAGAATACTCTGAAGAGGAGCTGAATTATTTTCGTGTTTGTTACATCACCACCCACATCATAAGGGAAGGTCTGAAAGAACTGTTTAAACGTGAATGGAACCGACACCATAGTCCCAGGTTTGGTTTATGGCAAGATACTGCAAGAAATGGGCAGGATTTCTTTCGAATGGAATCAAAAAAGAGTCGTTCAAAAAATTCAAGACTCTTGACCATCATTCAAAATGGAAACACAGAAGAATGGGATTGCACCTGCTTTTTCTTTGCAATTCTCTATTCTGACACCCTGGGGCCTTTAATAAGCGCAGCAGTTTTCAACGATGTAGACAATTTGCGAATGTTCCGTAATGAAGTATTTGCGCATCGTTCTAAAGCTTGTTTTCCTGAAGCAGAGTTTCAGAGATGTGTATCCACAGTATCAAATGCGTTCACATCCCTTCATCTTACCACTGCAGAGCTACAGAGAATAATCAACCAAAAAAGCTTTCCTACTGGAGAACTTCAGATGCTTCAAGAACAGGTGACGGTCTTGGAAGATGAAATACAGGGTGAAGCTAAGCCTTTCTTGATTCTTCCGCAGGCACCATCACACGAAGTTGTTGGAAGGAAAGTTGAAGTTGAAGACATCATGAAGAAGTTCTCAGATCTCGAGACGATTAACAAGGATGCTTCTGTTGTTACGATATATATCTCTGGTAATCCGGGATGTGGGAAAAGTCAAGTTGCTCGCGAAGTTGGCCAACAGTTCTTTGAAAGAGAAGCTGCCAAGAATGAACCAGATAGTTGTACGCTTGTTATGACCTTAAATGCCGAAAGAGAACAGTCAATGCTAGATTCTTACTACACGTTTGCCCGCAAGGTTGGTGTCACTGAATATTCCCTGAACAGAATCACAGGAAGGGACTCACGTTTGTTGCCGTATGAAAAGATTTGTCATCTGAAAATTCTTGTTTCTGCCAAAATGGAAAACTATTCCAGTTGGCTTCTTATATATGATAATGTCAATTCACTAAACAGCATTAGAGATTACTTTCCTGATGAGCATTGGGGAGGTTGTGGACATGTTCTTGTTACTACCCAGGACAGTATTAACATACCAGAAGCTGATCCTCTTTGTGAAAGTGTTTCTCTTAGTGAGGGAATGCAGTCTGAAGATGCCAGGATTCTACTTCAAAAGATTTGTGGGTTTTCATGTGATAGTGAAGAAGAGTCCTTGGTGCTGGATGCTTTGGACTATCAGCCTTTGGCGATTGCCTGTGCTGCCCTTTATGTTCGGTACATAGGTGTGCACCAACAGACAAGTTCTAGTGACATTTGGAAAAAGTACCTGAAGAAACTGGAAACATTGGAAAAGCGAGCTTCTACAGAGAGAGCTTATGAACGGACAAGCAAGTCTTATCGATCTTCAATGACTGCTGCTGTCACCTTGGCATTGGAAAAACTTGTTCAGGAGCCAATGTTTGAACATGTGGTGCCGTTTCTTGCCTTGGGTTCCTCAACACCAGTAAATTTGGATTTAATTGTCCGTCTTCTTAAAGAGTATGGTCCAGATTACGATGAAGAGTTTGCTGCTGCTGAAATTGTAAAATGCTCTTTGCTATTGATGGTTTTCACAGATGGCAGTTCAAAGATGCAAGTAAAGATGCACGAAGTTGTTCATGAAGTCTTTAAGAAATACCTTCTTGATAAGTATAGTGAGGAGCAGATTACAGAATTCATTCTGTTATACATTGAAACACTGTCCACCTCTGCCCAACATGACCCACAACATTTTGACCTAAACTTCCATATGACCTCTAAAATGATGGCTCCTCATTTGAAATCACTTTCACATTGGCTCGTACAGCTTTGGAAATTAATATTGATACTAACCAGCGACAAAAGTGCACTGAAAAGTATTTTGTGCTGCTTTGGGGATATTTGCAGACAGCATTTTTTCCTATGGGAGGCCAAAGTATATTTCCAACATGCCTTTCAAATTGCTAGAGATACTTTTGACAGAAACGATCCTAGCAAACTCAGTTTTCTCGCTACTATCTTAACCAACGAAGGTGTTATTTTTCATGAAAACTGCGAACTTCAAAAGGCTGAACTGCACTACAATCGCGCCCTTGATATCCTTAGGACACTACACCCATCAAACACGAGCTCGCCAGAAATTGCAGACTTATTGAACAAACTGGGCACACTTTACTACACTTTGTCGCAAAGGGAGATTTTCCTTATGGAACATTTAAAAAGAGATCATGTGCTGCAGCAATATGGTCTTGATCCATTTGATTCACGTTCAGCTTTCTGCGATGAAACAAGCTATAAGGAAAAAGCGAAAATTCATTTTCAGCAGTCCCTTGACATGAGGAAAAAGCTAAATGGTTTTGAGCATCCTCACGTTGCATCTTCAATGTCCAATATTGGCTGTATCTACAGTGTCTTGGGTGACCTAGAAACGGCAAATGATCTTTTCCAAAGGTCATATGCTCTTAGAGAAAGGATTTATGGCAAAGAACACCCATTCGTTGCGGATTCCTTGAACAATCTAGGAATTTTGCACAGTAAAATGGACCTCACCAAGGAAGCCATTCAGTACCAGGAGAGGGCATTGGAAATGAGGAAGAAGCTTTTTTTTTATGATCATGCTGTGATAGCTGATTCATATAACAACCTTGCTCTTGCTTACCAATACAATGGTCAACTTGAGAAAGCAAAGAAATGCTTTGAAGAAGCATTGCGTGTTAGGGAAAGAGTCTCAGGAAAAGACCATGTACGGGTAGGACGAGTATTGCTTAATTTCAGTGACCTGTACATGAGATTAGGTGAACCACAGAAATGTAAAGACCTCCGTTTTCGTGCTCGACAGATATTGGAACCATTTACACGACGCAGATGGCGTCACCAGGGAAAGTTTATTCTGAATGGTGAGCCTAGCACTAGCACCGGTCAGGACAACCGTTATTTATACGCTATTCTGTTATCAGCTGTTAATGACCCTCTTCCTCTCGATCATTTTCCTTACAGAGCAGAAAGCACATGAAGATTCCAAACGAGTTTCAGTTTCAGTTATAACATTGCATTCATAATTAGTCATTAGTTGTTATAAAAATGTGTAGCTAGTGCTGGAGTTTACGCCTCGATTCTATCTTTCATGGTTAGGATCCTCTCCGATTGTCACAGTGCAATGCTGTACACGAATTGGCTGCTATATCTTAACTTGATTTAGCATTAAACCACTACCCACCTCAGATGGAAAGCTTTGATGTACCCAGCATCCTTGGGCGTTTTCTTTTTCAAGCGGCCGAAAGGGCCAAAGATTTCATTGTAGTTTAAGGTGGCCCGAACCTATTTATCTGCGCGTTGGTTATGTTTTTGAATCGAGTTTTTAGGCAGGCACGATTTAACCGATTTCTATGATTTTTGGCATCCCAAATAAAAACTGGTCGAAATTAAACGTTTGAGATATTGGAATATGTTTCAAACCGCATTCTTACAAAAAATGTCAAGGTTTTTTCTCTAACTTCAGGAAATAAACCTCAGAGCTCTCTAGTTTTATATCTGCAAGTTCGAGGTTTTTCTGTAACTTCAGGAAATAAGCCTCAGAGCTCTCTAGATGCTATATCTTGCTTTGTTGAGATTTTTTTCTAAAAGAGAAGGGCAAATACATTGTAACTTTGGTAAATAGAAGTTCTTTAATCTTGCCCCGCATTCAGCATAAAGTTGCTTTTCTTGTTTTGCGAACTGTCTTCGCGTAGGTTTCTGATTACTCAGTTTCTTGCAACTGAAACTTTGGACAATGAATAATTTTGCAGATAAGGAGATAGTCCATCGGCAGTTTTCATCTATTTGTGCGTCAGCTTTCAAAAATGTGTTAGCGTTGCATTTTAAGGTAAAATTTGACCAGCTGTGTTTTTTGCAGCGAGTTCTACGGTCACGATTGACTTCAAACTTTCAGACATAAAACTAGAGTGCTCTGAGGCTAATTTGCTGAAGTTAGAAAAAAATCTGTCGTAGGGTTTCGAAATTATTGACAGTTTTTGTAAAAAGGCAGTTTGAAACATATGCCAATATCTCAAAGGTTTTTATATCTACAAGAAAATAAAAAACATTTTCTTAAAGTTCAACCATTCTTTATGAAGGACGTCAAAAATTATAGAAATCGGTTAAATCGTTCCACGTGTGTATTAGTGATGCGGTATTCCTTACCTTTGAGGTAATCAGTGGTAGAAAACTTGAACTGTAAATAGAAGCAAAAACTGAAATTCGTCAAGTTGTGAAATTCGGAGAGAAAAAAAAATACCGTTGAAAATTGAGCCCAACATCTGCCATTCGGTCAGTTTAAATTCATGTTTTTTTGTTCTCAAATAAGTCACTAAAAACCTGGATTACATTAACCGGTCATAATAAACGCTAAATTATGGTAATACAGTCGAAGATCTCCTTGCGACTACTTTCGTAAACGACCAGGCTCTAGTTACGACCACCTTTTGTGAAACGCTGTTTGAAATGATTCAAACTTTGTTATGAAATCTCTCGTAAGAGACCGCTCCCGTAACCGATCACGACTGCCACCTTTTGGGATTACCTAAAGGGACTTTAAGCTCTCAAGTAGTTTAAGGCCTGGGACTAAGGGGTTTACCTGTGGAAAATGATTAATTGGCTATAAGAGGGTCTCAATGGGGTGGTGGCATTTACGGTTATCGGCTAAAATTTTGGCTCTTTTACGGCTATCGGCTAATTTTTTTCAGTTACGGTTAACAAAAGAGTTAAAAATTAACTTGTTTTGTTTCAAAAAGTTAAATATTAATTAACCTGTATTTTTTGTATCTTTAAAGCAAAATAAAGGTCTTAAGATCATCTCAGTATGAAATAAGCTATTCTTTTGAAAAATTTTAACATTCGATAGACCATACTTTTTATAAAGTATTCCACTTCTAATATTATTTTACTCATAAAAATGTCAATAGTCAATTTAAAAATAATCTTTGTGAAAAGGCAAAGCACACACGCGAACGCCTAACTCAAGGCCGGGGCGCGACATTCATTACAACAGAAATGGCCGTTTTCACACTAAAGACGGATTATTCGTGTGAGACGCGTTATCCGTTTGATGATTCGCGTCAGATAGGTAATACGTCTTAATTTGAAAACGGAGTAGTTTTAATTTTGCATGAACAATCCGCCTGACTTTATCCTTCAACTTCGACGGACAGTTTGAACACGTGATTATCCGTTCCAGATAGCCTGTGTACAGCCGCCCCTTCCCCTCAGAAAAAAAATCGGAGAGGGGGTGTCTGTCGGGAAGGGGGCGACTGTACACAGGCTAGTCTCAGACGGATAATCCGTTTCTAGCTCTAGTGTGAAAACGGCCAATAACATAAATCCCGTGTCCAGTGTTTACAATGGTAGCGAAGGACTGTACGGAACCACTGTCAGCCGTTTTGCCTTGTCCGTAGGCCTTATTATTTCGCGCGGCTAATACGTTTTGGGTCACGTGGTCCGAGCGAGTTCGCCACCGAAATGCCTTGACCGAAATTGCGTGGGAAGACGCCGTACAGGGACTAGGCATGGCAATGTCTACCGTAGCGTCAGAGAAAAACAGGGAAATATTGTTTTTCGGCAACTTGTTTTACAAACAGTGAGATCTCTTCGTGTTGTTTCACTATTGTTTCGAGGGCACGACCTCCTGAAAATCGCAAATATTAATCCCCAGCAAGAAGCCACACTTTCGCTATGGAAAAAAAAATAAGTTCCCCGAGAAAGCGGCCGACATGGAAATGGGTCTTGGTCTTCACCTAAAAGACGATTTACCTAACGTGCGTACGGAGCCACACTAGCCGGGAAGTAAAAAACGCAACCATAAGTGAGTTTAGTACCTGAGCAAATCTAGGGAACAATTTCTTTTACGGTTAACTTTTTTTTTTACCCTATTTACGGCTAACGGTTAAAATTTTTCAATTTTTACGGCTATCGACTAAATTTTTGGCCGTTTTACGCCTATCGGTTAACCCCATTGAGACCCTCCTATAACTTCGGCATAGATGATGGCGCTGAATTAAAATTTGACACACTCCATAAAGATATAAATTATTTGTTAAGTAGTCACGTGATATGTCACGTGACCATTTTTTGCGAAAAATCGTAAACTATAGGCCACATCGAAAAATACCATAATATTCTCAAAATTGTCGTATGGGTAGTACCTCATGTAAACCTTACTTGTGCATCATCTTTTGCGTACGATTTCCACGGTTTGTCAAAAAAATTGCATACTTAGCGTATTTGCGCAAACGTTCCGGCAACGTTGGCCAAAGTATACTTTTAATATTACTTTTGCCTTTCATTATGTGCAGGAGTTCGGCAACGAGAGAAGTGAGTTGGAAGGTGTCTTTAATCAGAGAAAAAGCTACAGGTTCCAGTTCAAGCCCCCTATACGTACCCTAAATTCTATTGTAAAAACTGGCAATCGCACATGCAGTTCGTGCAAACAACAAAAGATGGGTGATTTCCAGGTTTACATTACACTTCAAGATAAAATTATGAGGGAAATCTTAAATGATTGAAAACTTTAATTTTAAACTTCGGGTACATTCATTCCAAACGTAGAAAGTTAGGTATGTTTATTCTCTTTCAGAAATGCCAATTTGTTTATCCAAACATAGTAAATTCGCCACCAATTTCATTCATTTTCAATGAACTATTTTTGGTCACGTGACATGTCACGTGGCCATAATTAGACGTCCAGGCACAAAAAACCCTCAAGATTTACTTTTGGGGAAAATTTCATTTTGTCATAGGTCTTCTAGCGAGAGATATTGCCAATTATTCATATTCTTCAAACACACGTTTGACCCACCATTCAGCGACCACCCAGAGTTTCATATAAACCAACACTAAATGAAACAGCACACCGCGCTAATGGTTTAAAAAATTGGATGCAAATTTTAGCCGTGTCTATATCAAATGTAAAGACACTAATGAAACATTCATTTCTTTTGTTTTTTTTCTCTATGAATTATTAAAGAGTTTCTGAATCTCTCGTAAGCAAGAGCTCATTCTCCAAAGCGACCAGCTCTGAGTTACGACCACCTTTTCGAATTTCAGAGGTGGTCGCTCACTGGAGCTTCGACAGTGAAATAATTAGCTCAGTGTCGAAACTCGGTTGCCATGCATGATAACGTCAATGGTGTGCCACACGTCATGACGACCAGGGGCGTAGCCAACCCATAGACTTGTAGGCCCAGGCCTACAAATTTTTGGTTTGATCACTCTACCGCTTGTAATAAATTATGCGTTGTTGGGGTGAGCTAAAAAGCTTGAGAACTCAAAGTGTTGGTGAGATCAGTGCGTGTTAGTCGTGCGTACAATTTTCAGGATATGTGGAAAAGAAAGTCAATTAGGCCTACAACTAGTCGAAAAGCTGGCTACGACCCGGACGACTTTAAAATGTTCCAAGATAAATTCCGGAAAAAAATTTCTAAGTTAAGCAGTCGTGACTTGACCGGTTTTGAACTTAGTCAAAATTTTGGTAAGGGAGGGGGGAAGGGAGCTCAAAAGCCCCACCGGGTCTGAATAGGGTTTTGCTGATATATTTTGGCTTCTTAAGACAATAAAATTATCATCAGTCAGATGATAATTCTGGCTTGAAGAAATTCAAAGTAAAAAGTCGAAAAGGTCATAGGGATCTTATAGTCAAGTTCTTCATAGAGAGTGAATTCCTTAAGGTGATTCCTTAGTAAAAGAACCTAACATAGATTGTAGATGAAGTTTGGTATACTGATGTAACAAGTCAAGGAGATGACAAAAAAGTGATAAAAAGTGGGGGTCACCATGCTCGTTTTGACGTCACAATGTTGACAAATACGGCTGTTTAGGACCCCTTGGCGAAAACCGCGCGCAGCCTAAAATTAGACAAAAAGGAGAGTTTTTTCGATGATGCTTGTGGTATCGCACAGAATTTGATTTAAATGTATTCTTTATCCACTAAAGTACCAGAAAAATGCCTTTTTATGCCCTTGTTTTTAATTTATGCTCCAAAGT